TGCCTTAGGGCAAGCACATGACACAGCTTCAGGGGCTGAACAAATTAATTGACAGCTATTAAAATAGTTACCTGACACATGTCTTTTGTATTGTTAGGTATTTCTGACAATACATTGACTCCTGTCAATTTCCCTTCATCATGACCCCTGAAGATCTGGGTTAGAATTGATTTTCAGTAACCCATGCTTGTAAGAGGCGAATACGGGATCGGGTGGTCAGGCTCACTGACTTGGTTGACACACGTATCCCAATTGAGTAGATCGATGCACATGCTGTTGATCACTGGATTGTCTGGTCCAGACTCGATTATTTACAGACCGCCGCCATACAGCTGGAATATTGCTGATTGTGGCGTAAAACTAAACTCACTCCCTTCATCATGGCGGAATGCCGTCGTCATTCCTATATACAAACCTTATTATGATAGGCCTATGTCTTACTAACTGTGTTTGTAACGCTTATTATACCACCTGGAAATATGGAAGTTAAAAGATCTCCATGAGAATTGAGATTGAGAGGCCATATCCCTAATTGTTATATCACAGTTTTAACACACAGACATTTCCAGGTACGTGTGGGTTTCACTTTGTTAGACATTTATGAGAAAGATCAGGGTGTTCCACAAGGTAAGCATATTATCAGTAACGTTGCGGTGGTGTGTGTGTGTGTGTGTGTGTGTGTGTGTGTGTGTGTGTGTGTGTGTGTGTGTGTGTGTGTGTGTGTGTGTGTGTGTGTGTGTGTGTGTGTGTGTGTGTTTGGTTGTTGTGGGTGTGGGTGGGGTTTGTGGGTGTGCTTTGTGGATGTGGGTGTGGGTGTGGGTTAGGGTGTGGTTTGTGGGTGTGGTTTGTGGGTGTGGGTGTGGGTGTGGGTGTGGTTTGTGGGTGTGGTTTGTGGGTGTGGGTGTGGTTTGTGGGTGTGGGTGTGGGTGTGGGTGTGGGTGTGGTTTGTGGGTGTGGGTGTGGGTGTGGTTTGTGGTTTGTGGGTGTGGGTGTGGTTTGTGGGTGTGGGTGTGGGTGTGGTTTGTGGGTGTGGGGTGTGGGTGTGGTTTGTGGGTGTGGGTGTGGTTTGTGGGTGTGGGGTGGGTGTGGTTGTGTGGGTGTGGTTTGTGGGTGTGGGTGTGGTTTGTGGGTGTGGGTGTGTGGGTGTGGTTTGTGGGGTGTGGGTGTGGTTTGTGGGTGTGGGTGGGTGTGGTTTGTGGGTGTGGGTGTGGGTGGTGTGGGTGTGGGTGTGGTTTGTGGGTGTGGTGTGTGGTTTGTGGGTGTGGGTGTGGTTTGTGGTTTGTGGGTGTGGGGGTGTGGGTGTGGTTTGTGGGTGTGTGTGTGTGGGTGTGGGTGTGTGGTTTGTGGGTGTGGTTTGTGGCTGTGGTGTGTGGGTGTGGTTTGTGGGTGTGTGGGTGTGGGTTTGTGGGTGTGGGTGTGGGTGTGGTTTGTGGGTGTGGGTGTGGTTTGTGGGTGTGGGTGTGGGTGTGGGTGCGGTTTGTGGGTGTGGTGTGTGGGTGTGGTTTGTGTTTGTGGGTGTGGTTTGTGGGTGTGGTTTGTGGGTGTGGATGTGGGTGTGGTTTGTGGGTGTGGGTGTGGTTTGTGGGGTGTGGGTGTGGTTTGTGGGTGTGGGTGTGGGTGTGGTTTGTGGGTGTGGGTGTGGTTTGTGGGGGGTGGGGTGGGTGTGGGTGTGGGTGTGGTTTGTGGGTGTGGGTGTGGGTGTTAATTAATTAATGCATCCATCAAATCGATTGTAGAGCAGCATGCTCATCACGATTAGAATCGAATATATTCACAAGAAATCGAAAACTGTCGATCCTAGTCATCCTCTTATCATAATCATTAGTTATACCTTCGAAACAGAAGATATATCAATCCTTCATAAACTCTCTCCTTCTCTCTCTCTCTCTCTCTCACACACACACACACACACACACGCACACGCACTTCTGTTGAGATTGTCAGGTACTGGCAGAATGTGAGCGAACTTTCATAGTTTCATGTTAGCCTAATAGTATGGTTTTGTCATGTGGGCCAGCAAGCTGTGTCTTGAATTGAATCTCTAAACCGAACATAATACAAGGAATCTAATTTATGTGTGATATGAGGCAAGGAGTTTGTTTGAGGTAACTGAAGGTATGTATACTTGTTAAACTATATTTTAGCTCCGCATCATGTATGCCTTTCGAAGTTATACATCTGGGTGTCTGTGACACACAAGTCGGGTGGGGTCATCGGGTACTGCTTCATGAGTACGAAGTTCTAATCAATCTAATTATGGATGCCTAGAATAAAGTATATGGGTGTATTAAATAGGTGATTGTGATTACATGTAATTTGATGATACGCAATTAGTTCGTAAGGCATAACATCAGTATACATATCTTCAACTGGTTTGGGGGCGGTGGGGTAGCCTGGTGGTTAAAGCGTTGGCTCGTCACGCCGAAGACCCGGGTTCGATTCCCCACATGGGCACAATGTGTTAAGCCCATTTCTGGTGTCCCCTGCCGTGATATTGCTGGAATATTGCTAAAAGCTGCGTAAAACTAAACTCAGTCAGTCAGTCAGTCAACTGGTTTGTGGAATTATTGGCCATCACAATACATAGAGGATATTATATGAGTGCCGCTACCACACGAGGGCCTACATGTTGGTATTTAACGAGTGGGAGCGAGGGATATACCGATATTTAGGCACGAGTGGCGCCACTTTAGTATGATATTATGATTTATATAGCCGCAAATTGAACGTTATTTCGGCTCCGCTTACGAGTTTCCGATATAACTAAATTTGCGGCTATATTACCACCGGTATACGACCCCACGTCAAACACAGGCTGTGAATGTAGACCGCAACGTCACCGAAAAAAGGTGACGTCATAGCATTGTTCATGACGTCACGTCACCATGACAAAGTGATATTTAAGAAATACACTTCGCTCTACCGCTCTTGCCCTGAACTATTATAGTTAAAGCACGAGGACGCTTGCGTCCGAGTGCTTTAACGTTATAATAGTTCAGGGCGAAAGTGTGTTTTATTACACTATACATGGTGGTAGGGCGAACTGTATTTCTTTTCTAAGATGCCAAATTTAATACTTTAGCATAAGTACGATTAATTTAAGGCAGAAAACAAACGACGGTGTCGGTTACCTAAATTAAGAATCCTCGCACAGGGCTAACTGGCGCGCTGTTCTATTGATGTGTCTGCCCCCTACGTTAAGACGAACGTTACCAGAAAAAAACAAATGATAACAGTTTGATGACGGTTTACGTTCGGATTAAATATCTTCTCTGAATTATTTTAATTACATCTGTCATTAACATAAACCATATGGGGCAATATGAACGTTGCATTTCTACTACCAGCGTAAGTTTAGATCAGTACATCCAGAGGAAGTTGAGTAGTCAAGCGACATTCCACAATTGCATTGTGGGAATGTAAACATTACGAACGTTACCGTGTCGCTGAAAACTTGTGGGTCGAAATGACACATTTTAACCGTCGTAAAACATAAACGTAATGTTTCCACCAGTGATGTTAGCTGCGTGAAGCAACAGCAAACCAAGAAACTGGATGCAACGGTGTAGTTTACTGTAGGAGGCCGTTCGAGGCGATGACAATTGACATGCATCGTGACGTCGCTTACATTGTGACGTAATGTAAAATGGTTGGATTACGAGGGGGCACACTAGAATGGCGCAGTGACGGGAAAACGTCATTCAATTGTTACGTCATCAAAAAACTATACCTTTATTGTCTGATAATGTTTTTTTTTTCGATTGTTCTAACCGCTAGGCATCTTAGAATTTGCCCTAGGGCATCGTATGAAAAAGATGAAACACGATATTTTCGCCTCGTAGGTAATAATTACATGTATCAGGTCACAACCCCCTTGTGATACGCATAAATATGAATTAACACATGTTTACTTTCCGCAATAAGTGCAATGATATGATAATCATGCAGAGCTGATTGATTGAGCTGAACAGAGAAGAGAAAGCTGGTCAAACAACAGATATATCAATCACTGGCAAGACCATGACTGGACCAGGTATTTAGTTATAGACAAATAAAACTCCATGCTTACATTACCTATACACTTTACATGGGGATTAGTAGATCGAGTGCTTAGGTTAAGTTAGAGAGCATTTACCGAGCTTAACTAAATTATTTACCCAATTTGAAACTAACATAAACTAAAGTACACACTATTTACATTCTGCTAGTGATACCATCATATAACAAAAGCTTACTGGTCTTACATGAGACTAACGCTTAGTCTCTGACTATATGTAATTTTGATAGTAACAAATAAACCCATTAAAATTGAAAAGGAGCCCCAGTGAGATGGAACATTCAGAACCTGAGGGAATCTAGACTTGCTTCATTTAGGGCTTTAGCATTGCAGGGGAGGGCTGGGCAGGAGGGAAAATAATGTGGTTCAGGGACTGTGAGACAGACTATAGTCCACCATGTATGTGTATAAATATATGTTAGACCAGGTTTCTGTTAGAAAAGAAAGCTTAGTAAGCGGCAATGTTTTCTCCGTTGCTTACACTTGAAAGATTATTGTCACCAAAAGAAAGCTTATACTCATATATTTAACAACCACATTGAATAGTCTGTGAGTTCCCAGAAACCCGTCACGAAGGAAGGTATACCATGGTATTACTAAATACCATATTTTACATACTGCATTGGTATAATTTAGTTTCCTCCAATTACTTATAAAGCATGGTTTTAAGTAATTTAAGCAAAATGTTTACAGTAGTATATAAATCTGTACTCAATGATATAGGTTATTCAGCAGGAGAAGGGGGGAGGCCATTTTGCTAAACACAAAGTATATGCTGCTAATCATGGCAGAATCGAAAGACTTCAAATGACTGCCGGGCGTGTTCAAATAAACCCACAACTAGCTGAAGCAATAATATTGTCACGATAGTCCTCGGAGGGATTGATTGTCACGTGACTGCCTTCGAATGAGAGCTGTCTTGGAATGCTTTCTGCTGTGGGATTTCCACCAATATTCTCCGTCGCGGCAACGACCGTAGAGCCTCTCGTACTGGTGAATTCTCACTATATAACAACAGCTTTGGAACAGCATTCATGTTGTACAGGAATAACCATTTTAGTGAAGCAAGTTTATGATGGTTGAAGATGATCTGAAGTGTGTGTTTTCTTTCATTTATTTGGAATTAATATCTTGAATTTGGCCGGAGGTGTTTATCGGACATCTATTCTTTTTCCGTGGGGAGATTCTCGTTTTTCATCAACCTAGTGTAATTCGAAACTCTTGGCCGAGAAATTCGCGCCATGACCTCTTCGCGGTGATATCCACAAGGGTTTCTTTTGGAGCGTGTGTTGCACCAGTTGAAGGTTGGTACAATTGTGTGCTTTGGTGACGGTTTTTATTTGGAAATTTCGCCTCTTATTGTGCATCCCGTTTCTTGTGCGTGCAAATAATGCCCAGGGCAGCCATGCATGTAATAACAGTGATTCACGTGTTAGATTGTTTTGGTGGTGTTTTTAAAAATAACTGGAAACGAAACTCACTCTGCAGTACAGTGTAACCTGAAAGTTTCTTAGTCCTGGTCGCGCTTTGTCGAGGCTTCTCGTGTTTAGTCGAGTCGGGAATATTGTTCAGTAAAATCTAACGGGATTATATCTTGCTGGCAACATCGCATTGTTGTGCGGGCCCAGTCAGTCGGTACGCTGATCAGAGTAGTGCTTTGTTCCCCTCACAGCAGTTTTTGGGCAAGATGGTTGGGCGGGGTTATTCACGACTTTGAAAGATTGCTGTCTGGTTTATAATGTTTGTTGTAAACGATTCTAGCAACAATATAAATGCATATAATGCTCTTTAGGATTATGGAGCTGAAGAACAGGGATGGAGATTCAAGTGTTGTCTTCTTCAATGTGATCTTTTGTTTGGATCCTTGGCCTGATGAGTGATGGCGTTGACAGCTATCACTGCACACTTTTCACAGAACCACATTCAGTAGTTAGATCTAACATGCTTTGCACACAAATATATTTGGTTTGGTGACGAATTTAAGTTATAACAGTATTAGACGTAACAATCCCAATCAAATACAGTTTATACCAGGTGGTATTTAACCTGAATGCCTCTTCAACCAAAGCTTTGTATTTAACCCAAGACACATCAAGTGCAAATATACCCTGAGTTTGAATTTGTGGACAATGTTCTTTTCTGGGATATCATCCATAATCAAAAGCAAAATGACTGAAAAGAACATCATAAATATCAGTAAATTGTTAACTTGTCTATTCGATGACATTTGACTAATGTACAATTTGCAGGATTATTTTGTAGGGATCACAGGTTTCGTTGATTTTTAAAATCACCTATGGCCATACATAAATGTTGTCAATAAACCTAAAACAGTGGAGCATGTTTCAGGAAATATACAAATTTATTACCCACGTGGTCAACGTCAGGGTAGTTGCATACTAATCTCATACGTCACACAAGTGTCGTATAGCCTTGACCTGTGTCGTAACGACTTGACCTGAGATTCTAACGATTTGATTGGATAACCGATGACCTCTCAATTAGGTCACATTCTGACGTAACTATTATTTAAACATTCATAACAAACACGTGAATTCATTCATTCTACAACTTAAATGCATTGTGTGAATGTAAACATCACGAACTTTGCTGTGTCGCTGTTTAATTGTGAGTTGAACTGAGACATTATATCCGTCGAAAAACATAAACACAATGTTTCCACTGGTGATGTTAGCCAAATGAAGCAACTGCAAACCAAGAAACGCGGTGCTACAGAGTAGTTTACTGTAGGAGGCTGTACGAGGTGATGACAACTGACATGCATCGTGACGTCGGTTACCAAGGCAGTGACGTCATTACAGTGTGACGTCATGCAAATATTGTACTACAGTACAAAACTCTTCCGCAACCTCTTTATGAAACCGGTTTCGGTTTGAAACCAAAATATTAACAAAAATACGCTATTTTGTCAATTTGATGCATGTAAGACATGGGTAATAAATACCATAGGAAGGACACTCGTTTCGTATAATTCATATGTAATGAGACCTTGTGTAGTATTCTCTATATAAAAATCAATGTGAACTTTATACTTTTATAGCATATATGTGAAATCTAGCTTTGCCACTTGTATAATAGACATATATTACATCATTTATCATCCAAATTGGAGATATTGCTTGTGGGAGATCAAATGATATCTCCTAGGAAATATCATTTTGACAGTAGATTTTGTACAATGCCCTGACGTCATCAATTACTTGACTCACAATGCTATGATGTCCAAAACCTGATGACGTCACAATGCTATGACATCGCTGTATTGCAAGTCTAATGGCAGTACCGTGTTCAGAGTTGTACATTTTTCACTGAAAATTAAAGAAGAGTGACATTTTATGATAAATAGAATCTCACCCTCATGTCTACTGATAACAATTATATCAACATGAGTTGATAAAGTTACAAATATCTGGGGCTTTCCGAGGATATGTTTACTTTGCAGGATTATTTTGTGATGACAGGATTCAGTGATTTATAAAAACCACCTATGGCCATTCAGAATATGATGTAATATATATGTCTCATATATAACTGGCAAAGTTAGATTTCACATATATACTATAAAGTTCATGTTGGTTTTTATATTTGCATACATCCTTGAATTCCTCATTTCAGCGTCAGATTCCTAATGTCATGAATACAGATGCAGATTAAGTCCAGTAACGTATCAGGAATTAATAATAGTCTAGGTATGCCTGGACACCGAAATATGCTTTGAAAAATAACATATTGCAAGAATTTTCAGAGAACCTGTATATTGGATGAAAACAATTATGAAGTTTAGTGAATATCTCTATGGTTTAAGTTAATATCTACACAGACTTTACTTTCAATCAGAATTGATGTTTCCCTTTGTATTTAGTTGACAAAGGGGCATAATTTATGTACATGTACTATTGTACGTGTCATCCATGTTTTATCGTATAAACCGTACACCTGTGTGCTTGTCGTCATTCAGTTAATGACCTTATTACAAGCATTCATTAGTGATGGCAAAACTCTGATTACTTCGACTATGCAAAGTAACTCCATAAAGTCCACCCCTGCCTCTGAGGGTGTCAAGGATGTATACTATCAGTGGTTCTCTTTTGGCGTTTCTCATGTCAGGTGTGAGTATTCAGTCTAAGATAGAGTTATAAGATGGTTTGATGTGGTGAATGTGTCACATGTTACTTGGCAGCGCAGAAAGCGAGGAATGGTTGGTTGAGTTGCAAAACAGTCAAAGGATTTACTGATAATACGTTGATTGATTAATCACTGTTGTCTTGTGATTGTCAAAAGTGTTTATGTATATTGGTTTACTATGGCATGTCTATGCACCTATGTAAAAACAGCATACATTATTAGAAGGATGAGCTGGTAATATGTTGATTGCTTATTGTTCTCTGACTAAATCGAATTTTTAAAAAACCCAAGGATATGATATCATGAACATAGATGTCATATGTGCTATCTCAGCTGACCAGTGCGACATGACACCGATGTGAAACAACTGAAACAAGCTTTTATGATGAGATATTTTTGTATATTAGATTGTTAGGGACTGTTCATAATTTTTGGCTAGAGGGGTGAAGATGAATTTTGTGGAGAAGCATGTAGATTGTGAATGATCCCCCCTAAAATGTATGTACAAAATAAGTGACCCCCCTGCATGTCATGTACAAAATCAATTCTTTGAAGATATAGTATGGGGTATTTTCTAAGTAAACCACAGGTCGATGTATAGAAAATTGCTTACAGGTGATTACTAGCTTCCGAACATATATAGTAATCTTCACATTTGCATATAACACTATGCTTTGCAGAACTGAAGTACAATTTATATGGTACATCATCATGTCTACTGTTAATTTATCTCAGATTTCACATTTTATTGACCAATTTCTTCTTCACCTGTTTGTCTACTTGGAGTCTCTCAAAGGATCTCAGTAGTGTTTTATTGTGCATAATATAATGATTTTCACTGATAACAAGTCTCATGTCTTGTATGATTTAATCAACACAAAATATGGGTCGTTTTGGCTCTACCACTTTAAATTACATCCTTTGTTGTGATTGACAGTTTGTCATTCTTCGATCCGCGAATAGGCGATACTTCTTGCAGCCATGAACACAAGTAAATTCTGTCAGCGTCAAAATTATGGTCCATGATCTGCTCATTTGTATTCCGTGAAGAAACAACTGCTCCATATTTCAGTGCTTTCAAAGTTCACATCCTGTCGCAATACATACTGCAATATGGGTACCAGAATGAAAATATATTACAATATTATCTATTTGTCAATACACTGACCTATTGCAATGATAGTTTGCTGTCAAGTGCATAACAGCTAACTCAATATATGCTAAAAGCGCTGCTTTGTTATACCCTAGTCAAATCTCAGGTCCCTCGGTAGTGTAAAGCATGGCATTAAACCCATGCTGGCTGTTCTAGAAGGTTCACAGTTACATTAACATCTCATCCTATGGGATACCCACTCACTGCTTGCTGGACAGAAGCTTGGAAAACGGTTATGTGCCCAAGGAAACATCACAGAAGTCTTGATAAGCTGTGTATTGGCATAAACATGATAAAATACGCATTGGAATTTCTAAAATACGCACTGAAATATATCTGCAGCATCCCAAATTCGCAAAGGAAATTACAGAAACGCATTAGTGAATTGTTGACTTGCGTACCTGACTTACTGGTGAAAAACAAATGTGTAACAGAAAGTAGCTAACTGTCAAATGTTACGAGTGGATTGGGTAGATTATCAGTTGAATTTCACTAAGTAACTGTACACTTTATGAACTACAGAAAGAAACATTTACACAAATGCAGCTAGTTATTTTTGTAACATTCATTGTGATTCATTCTAAAAATATCATCCAATGAAATTGCTCGTCTTGTTAGAAAGTCTAGACCCATTGTTTATCAACAGAGATGGCCTCATGGAAATCACATGTACATTCGTCTTCTAAAACATCATCTCAAAGTAAGATTTCGGCTTTTGCCACTGTTCGAAATCGATCTTTTGAAATTTCCATCATTGCAAAAGAAATTATTGATGAACTTACTGAAAGCTGTTTTGAATTGGAGGTTGTTATCAATAGAATATTGACAGATTTGCATACTGCTATCACTCATGTACAGGCGAAGAAACATGATGGCAATAGACTTTCGAAAAACACTCAGGATGCATGGAAAATGAAGTTTCCGTGGTTATCTTTCAATGAACAATCTGATGAAATGAGACAATGCTGCACTTATTGTCAGTTGGTACAGAAAAGTTCTCTTCTG